GAGAGAGAGGGATCCAGACCTGCTGTCCACAGCATGAAGAGTCCTCAGAGCTAAGGCAATAGTTGCCATCACCCAGGAAGATTGTACGGAAGGGCTAGGGATGGGTCCCCGAGGAACATTTGGGAACTGCTAAGGATGGGACACCTGAGAAGAGAGGGAATCAAGACAGGAAGAAACAAAGCTGGTATTCAGGGCTACCCCAGCCACATATCTTTGGCGAGTTAGAAGAAGGTGCCCCTCGGAGCAGATACGGCTTGAGCCAGGGTACAGGACTGAGTGAACATAGTAATCTGTATTTCATTCTTCACTAGCTCCCTTGGCCAGGTCCGACTCTCTTGGGAATGACCTGGCCTGCCGTATGAAAAGGACTTGACCCAGAGTCGTAGAAGCCAATGGAAGAGACTGCAGTAGAGAAAAAGTGGCCAGCAGTGTTAGGTATAGCAGAGCCAGCTAGAACTAAAATTAGGAGTGAAAAACAGGCACTGGATGTTGGACCTTCCAGGCCACATGCACTCACAACCTCAGCTTGCTTACTTTTTATTTATTTATTTTTTTGTCTTTTTTGAGACAGGGTCTCGCTATGCAGTTCAGGCTGGCCTTGAGCTCACTTTGTAGCCCAGGCCGGCCTCGAACTCACAACGATCCTCCTGCCTCAGCCTCCCAAGTGCTAGGATTACAGGCGTGAGCCACCACGTCCAGCTTGCTTACTTATTTTTTTTTGAGACAGGGTCTCACTATGCATAGTTCAGGCTGGCCTTGAATTTACTGTGTAGCCCAGGCTGGCCTCAAACTTGAAGTGATTCTCCTGCCTCAGCCTCCTGAGCACTCTGGGATTATAGGCGTGGGCCACCACAGTAGGCCTACCCTCAGCTTTCTTGGGAAAAGAAAGCACAGGGGAAGGAAACCTGATGTCTATCGATGTGGGGTGGGCCCTGCTGTGACTTGAATGTGGCCCCCAAACTTCTTTTATTGGAAACTTTACCCTCTGTGCAACAGAGGGACCTAATAAGAGGCAATGGGGTCCTCAGAGCTCTGCCCTTGTGAATTATGTTATAATTACACTAACATGAAAATGTGAGTGGGTTAGTTACTGTAAGATCGGGTTGTTGTAAAAGTCAGTTTGGACCCTTCTTGCTCTTCCCTTCCCTTCTGCCTTTCCACCATGCTATGATGCAGCACAAATTCCCTCACCAAAGCCCAACTTCCCAGACGCCAGAACTGTAAGCCAAGTAAATTTCTACTCATTAAAATCATGTTGTCTCAGATATTCTGTCGTTGCAACAGAAAACAGACCCAGGCCCTGACTAGAAGGAAGATTTCTAGTGTGATTCCAGCCCCTTCCCCGGCCAGCCCCAACCCTGGCCCAGCCATACCTTGATCAGGAAGACACTGTGAAAGCCACGGCGGAAGGCTGCATCCACGGAGCTGGTGGAATTCTTCCACCTCTCTGAGATTAACTCCTTGGTCCACTGGTGACCCTTCCATACGAATTCCCCTGAAAACCCACATCCACTGAGGGATCCAGCACAAACCTTTGGCCTACTGAGGTGGTTATAAAGAAGCAGTCGGCAATACCCTCAGACAGTTCCCAAGCCCTCTCACAGATGGAGGCACCCTCTGTGAAGGGGACTGAGACTGCAGTCCTAAATGCTCCAACTCCAGTCCCTCCTACCTTTAAAAAATAGCATGGCCCCATTCTCATCCATGGTGGTGGCATCAAAGCTCCAGCTATCTGAACAGTATTCTGGGGTGAGGTGGGGAGATAGCAAGATAAACAACCAGGAAAATGATAAAATGTAGATACAACTAGACAGTTTGACAGACTCAAGGAATTGGGGCCTCACCAAACACATGTTGGTCTGGCTTGGTTCCACTCTCACCTTCAGTGACATTCCCATGCGCACTAGTCCTAGAGGGGACACAGGTAGATATCCAGGTCCATTTGGACCAATCCATTTCTCTTAGCTCTTCACCCAAGCCTAAAAACTGGCCCTACCTTTCCCCAAGCCCAGACTATCTTCCACCCCTAATCCCAGCTGTACTCACGGAGGAAAAGGGCTGGCAGTGGCCAGAGACCAGCACAGGCTCAACAACACAAGTACAATTGGTGCTCCCAGTGGCCTAGCCATGGTGAGCTGGAAAAGCCACAAGACAGCCCTGGGCACTGGATTGAACTCCTTAAATAGAATCAGCAGCAGCACCACCACCCCCTTCCAGCCCTGCTGGGAATGAGCTGTCTCGCAGGACTATGACAATATTGGCTGATTACATCACTGCAAATAAGGTCAGGGTCTGGACAGAAGTCCATACTGGCCTAAGACTCTCTATTCCCGGCAGTAGCCCCCATCCCCCTTCAGCAACTCGCCAGCAATGACCAGCCCATGTGGCTCATGGCCAGCCGTGATGTTCATCATACTAGCATGAGTCTAGGTGTCTGTGAGTCCAAGAAGAGGGTAGACTTTATCTCTACTGGGTGGGAGGGGCATTTTTGTGTACTAAGTGGTCAGCCCTACGCAACTAAAGCCCTAAGCCCTAAAGCAACTAGAGACTAATATATTCACTTAGTAACCACAAATGAGACAAACTCACTTAGCAACACTCAGAGAACAGCCATTTTCCAAGCTCCACCAGAGCATTCCTGGGTGCCCCCAAGCCTTTTCAGCTTTAACCCTAGATTAGTGATTCAAGGGGCAATAACAACTCATATTTTCAAATGTTCGAGCCCCGTGCACAGCCTCAACCCCTGCTGGCAAAGAGTGTTGCAAAAGCTTGGGAGGGAGGGCTGATGGTAATGAGGCCAGATCAGGAGTTATCTCTCTTCAGAGGGCACCAGGACCACCAGTAATTAGTCTTTCTTGGTAGTTTACACCTTAGGGGGAAAATGCATTACCTATCCCAGAACGAATGAAGGGGTAACTGGGATTTCACAATATTTTCAGCTGATTTCCACCTACGTGCTACGTTTTCAGTGAAGACTTCCTTGACTACCATATCCAGCCATTTCTTGCTTGTGTCTCTTACCAAAACTTGAAATTACATCATCTGTCCCCTTACTGGATTGGTTTTTATTTGATTTTGGGGTTGTTTGGGGTTTTTTGTTGGTTTGTTTTGCAATCCTGGAAATCAAATCCAGGGCCTTGGGCATGCTAGGCAAGCACTCTACCACTGAGCTACACAGCAGCTGTGTTGGTTTGGGGGGTTATTGTGTGAGGTGAAAAATACAGAGGACACACAGTTTATATGATTATTTATAAGAGTCACCCAAAGAACGACATACAAAAGAGTGCAGGAAATCTATCCATACACTATAGACCAAGAATCTAGCTGAGGGCCTGGATCCCACGATAATGTCCTGCATGAGTCCAATTTAAGACCTAGAGCTCATAACAGTGCCTCCCATGAACCTAACTGGAGGCCCAGAGCCCACAACATATGTGTTGGTTTGGGGCTTATTTTGCAAGGGGAACAATACAATACAGGACACATACTTTATATGATTATTTATAATAGTCACCCAAAGAACAGTATACAAAAGAGTGCAGGAAATCTGTCCACA